GGTCGAAATTGGGGGCCAAATTATTATTTTCTACTTCTAGTCATCGCCAAATAGATGGCCAAATAGAGGTGGTCAATCGCACGTTGTCTACCTTATTGCGTGCCGTTATTAATAAAAATCTTAGGACTTGGGAAGAGTGTCTACCTCATGTCGAGTTTACTTACAATCGCGCTGTTCACTCTGCCACTTAGTTCTCACCATTTGAAAGTGTTTATGGGTTTAATCTATTGACACCCATAGATTTAGTTCCTTTTACCTATGCATGAGTGTGTCAACTTGGATGGTAAGAAACGAGTAGATTTTATTAGACATTTACATGAGAAGGTCCATTCCAATATTAAGAAACACACTGTGCAATATGCCAAACATGCTAATAAAGGTCGTCAAAAGCTGGTATTTGAGCCTGGTAATTGGTTCTAGTTACATATACGCAAAGAGCGTTTTCCAATTAACGCAGTAACAAGTTGCTGCCACGTGGTAATGGTCCTTTCCAAGTGCTTGAATGTATCAATGATAACCCCTACAAGTTGGAATTACCAGGTGAGTATGATGTTAGTGCGATATTCAACGTTTCTGATTTGAGTCCTTTTGATGCAGATGATGCTTTAGATTTGAGGACAAATCCTTCTCAAAAGGAGAGGAATGATAACAACGAGGTTGGAGGCGTTGATAATCAAGTTCATGGTTTGAGTAATGATCAAGTTCTTGTTCCAGTGGGACCGATTACTAGAGCTCGCGCCAAGAAACTTAAAGTGCAACTCAACACATTAGTTCATGTTGTTCGTGAATCAATTGAAGGTTCAAAGATGGTTGAAGATCTTAATCAAGAAGAACATTCAATTGTTACATTGCTTCAAGTGATCCAACAAGCTAGTCCGTAAAGTTGTTGTTTTGGTAGTTGAATTGGTTGCATTTGGCTAGCTCTAAGTTGTTTAAGTAGCCGAATTATTTAGTTGCTATTTTGAGTTATTTTTCATGACTTTTTCTTGTTATTTTGATAGTTATTAAGCTCGGCCAGCTTTCAGTAAGTTTAGAGGCCAAGATAGTCCATTAGTTTCCTAGTTGGAGTAGGTTTTGTGTCTTGTAAAGTCTATAAAAGAGTTAAAATGTTTTTTCCAGATTAATTAATCAAATTTTCTAGCAAAAATTAAGAGGTTCTATCTTGGTTTTTCATGAGCTCCTTTTGAATACTTTAGAGGTTCTCTTGAGTATTCAACTTTGGCTTATCAATCAAGAATCACACTTGATTGTGCCGTCGTTCTACCAAAATCCTGGTTTGCTAACTCGTTAGGTTGTGGGTTGAGAAAATATTAAGAAGTTCGCATCTCGGGGGTTAGATTGGGTCATAGATTTTTCGCTGCCAAGTTTGAATATCACTATCACGATCCGGGCTTTTTGATCACGAGCTTCATATGTAACGGAGATCATATCAATATTGGCATTAGGTTAATTAAAAAAAAAAAGGCATGAAGTATGTATAGATCAACATATTTCTTTATCTAATTAAGTAAGTAGCCATAACTTATGTTCATTTGAACTCAATTTGGTCGTAGGAAAGGAAGGGTTGGGTTGAAGGTGAAAGGAGGGGTGATAGGGCTGTCGAGGAAGTGAGGGTTAAGGAACATGAGATGGGATAGCGATGGGGTGGCTAGGTGGGAAAGGGACAAGGGCAGGTAGGGGAAGGAAGGGGATGACAAAGAAAAGTTGGGCTGGCAAAAGGGAGCTGGAAGTGATTAGACTATTAAAAGAAATCTTACAAACTTCAATAAAGCCACGTCCAAAGAATTTTGAGAAACAAATCTACAATAAAGTTTTCATAAACACCAAAATATGGATTGAAAATTATTTGGAAATTTTTTTTTGAAAATAACATTAAAGTATTTTTTGGAAATGTGAAGTATATGAGATAAAAAAGATAATTGGTAAAAGTATTCATGATGCCACCAATTTTTTTTAGTAAATCTTATATATATTAACAATGTATACACCATCACTATTAGATTGTGACACACATGCAAAAATTGGATTTTAAATTCAAATTTTGCATTAGTTGTCATACATCCAAAACTGGCAGTGTATATACTATCCAAAACTGTCATTTATCCAAAATTTTAATCCAAACAAACCTATTCAATTAAATAAACTCTTTATTGTATCCACTTAAAATGTAAATTAGAGCATTGCATGGATCAAAATACTAGTATTAAATTAATGAATGGCCTTTACCACATTTAACGTTGGGGGGAAAAATTCCCCTTACCTCTTAGTAATGTATGTGAAAAACTTTTAATGTAGATGTTTTTAATGGTGTTTTTGGATTGTTTTTGAAAATATACTTTGAGATATTTTAAGATTTAAAATTTTAATGAGGCATTTTTAAAATTGTATAAAACTTTATCACCACCCACTAACATCCCACCATCCTTTTTCCTCTCACTTTATTCCTCCTCCCTCCTCCCTCCTCCCTCCGCAACCCCCTCCCCTCCCTTCTCCCCTCACCCCTCTCTCGTAACCCCCTCCCTCTCCCTGGCGATCACTGGCCATGGCGACCAGTTTGAGGTTGCAACCTATGACTAGATTTGGTCGTGAGCCGCAATTAAAAGTGGGGAGAGGGAAGGGGCGCAACCTGAGATGCGTTGTGTTTTTTGAATTATTTTTAAAATTTATTACTGCAGACTTGAAAGATAAAAATTGTTCCTCAAAATGCTCTTAAAATCCAAACGGTTACATATTATCCATGGTACCGGGAAGAAAATATCGTGTGTGTCACTTGTCGCGCAATTACTTCGGCAGGTTGTCGCTTGTCACGCACAATAATTTGGTTGTTAAGTGTGGAAAATGATAACGTGTGTGCGTGATAAAATGGATATCTTGTTAAACAACACTACACGTTAACGGCACATGGATCATCTAACTTCTTCTCACACGTTGTATTATTTTGGTCCACCGTAGCATTTTTTTTGGTGATCTAACTTCCGTCAGCGTTAGCCGCGGATTCCTGAATTGTCATCGCAAGTTGTGTGCGGGTGATGCTTGAAGAGCGGGTTCAGCTTTAATTTATGACAGTTGGTGGCTGGCAACTGGGTATTAATGCCTATGGTGGTCTTCTGCACCGTATGCCAACAAAAGGTTGAATTGAATAAGACACAAAAAAAAAAAAAAAGAAACCAACCGCCTTTGGCCACTGCCACCTTGATTGGGGCGGGAAGTTAAGGGTTTCAATTTTATTTTCTATTAATTGTGACTATATGTAGCTTGCCACTGAAGTGATTTATAATCACTACAAGTATGCTACGCATTCATCTGATCCGATGGTGATTCGGTTGCCATCGATTCTTTCATTAGTCCAGTTGAGCCCTCCTTCTTAGAATATGTTAGAGTAAGAGTAAATGTAGAGTAAACTAATGCTGATTGTCAAAAAGAAAAAGAATAAAAAAAATTGGAGATTTTCCCTAAGTAGTTGGGCTACTGTCAATCTGTCATATGGGAACTAAGAAACGGGAAGGTGTCAAAGAGATTTGAACCTGTGACTTCTAATCCTTAGATCCTCAATCTGTCCAGTTAATGTAATTCATATAGTTTTTGGTAATCATGAATTTTACATCATAATCATATAAATTGATAAATTTCACCATTATACTAAAATCGTATGAAATTACAACAAAATTTGCAAGAATTACATCAATCAAATAGGACTAGTTATAACTGAACTAGATGGATCCAAATTCTATGAATAGAATTGTGGAAATCAGTTTCGAAAAACTAATCAAATTTGAAGCTGCAATGATGATGTAGAATGATCATAAGAGTCTTGCATAAAAAAACTAGGGATAATAATAGAAATCTCTCCCTGCGATTTCTCCTATATCACTTAGCATTTTTAAACTTTTAAAAATATCACTTATTTATTTTAATAATTGTAAAAAGACTATTAGTAACTCTTGATTGATATATAAGTCATATATCAAATAAATGGAGGTCTAAAAATTTGAAAAAGAAAAAAAAACAAAAGTCACTTTCTTCTATTTTTTCTTTCTCGAACATTCTCTCTTATTCATTTCTTTGAATGATTATGCAATTTTTTATTTATAAATTATAATAAATTGAATTTTATTTATCTTTTACTTTTTGTCATTGTGATAGAGTGGGATGTGATTTATTTGTTTTGTTCTGAGTTAATTTTTGTAATGATTAGTACAACTTAAATGTTTAGGCCATGGATTGAGAAGAAATTGGAAAAAAAATATAAGGTTTATAAAAAAATCAGTTTTGCGCATATAGAGTTAAATTGGTATTAGTATATTTCTTTATAAATATCTTTTATGTTTTCCAAATTTATATTTTTACAGACTATAACTTTGTGAGGTAGTGATACTATTAGAGTTTGTTTTTAGGTGATAGTTTTTTTTTTTTGAAGTAAATATAGTGTCTTAGGAGTATTTTATTTAGCAAAGTGAGTAATAGGATAGTTTAGGATTTTTTAAAATTTTGTTACATAAAAAATAAAAATGAGAGAGGTAAGAGATACTTTTAAATTTTAAGGATTATGAGCGTTTTTGAGAGAAATCTCTGGAGAGGTTTTAGATATTATCCCAAAAACTAAGGAAGAACCCGAGAAACAGGTTGTGGGCAGAAATATAAACAAGGCGCGGAAACTTTACATTTGGTATTTGCCCTTGGGTCGCCGTCCTTTAGGCTTCTGTCCTTGGCATTAAATTGGCCTTTCCCCATCTCTACTGTCAACGTATACTAGTCATAGTTCAAGGACTGGAACTTTTAGGAAACAAATCGTAGGGAACTTCCATCCGGAAATGCCAAAACGGCAACAGGCTCTTTCTCTATTATTAAGACGTGGAAACGGCAGTTTTATGCAGTAAGCAGATTTTTCTACTGGCCAAATATAGTACTTTTTTTTTTCCTCAGCGGCAACCCTTCATTTATATACCAAAACAGATTATAAACTTTTGGAGCAACTGCCCCTACAATCTACTTGAAGCAATTCAAGCAGCCAATGCTGGGAAGTCAGTCTTCCATTCAGCTGTTCCTTTCAAGTTTAAAGCTAATTTTGTCAAACAATGACTAACAGAGTTATTAATCCTACTCGTGAAGGAAAAACAACATTCATAAAAGTTGGATTTCAAACTAACTATATCCGACAGTACAGTTGCAATAGCTGAGTCTCCTTCCCCACCATTTATTTTATCAGTGAGTTGCTTACAATCTGATTCGAGCACCACTCTTCTCCAGTCCTGATGTTTTGCCATAAGCATAGCAGCTATTAAAGCCAGAGCTTCCTCTTGTTTTGCATTTGAACAGCTTGTATTTGGCACTGCCCAAGCTCTCAGAATGTTTCCTTCACAGTCCCTTGCAATCATCCCCCATCCAGCTCTGTATGTCTTTTGTTGCACAACTGCATTAGAATTTATCTTAACCCACACCTCTTCTGGTTCCTTCGGCCACACAATCCCTCCTTTCCTTTGTTCCTATAGCTACCAGTTCCCCCTTCCAATTCCTGAGCCTCCTCCTGGAACTCCCTCCGCTCCAGAGTTGCCTTTTTTACTGCTGTCATTGGATCCTTCCTTTACAGGCCAAATATAGTGCGACGCAATGAATTTAAGATTTGAACTTATGACCCAAAAAAAAAAAAAGAATGCGAATTAACCAAGATGTAATCGGTATGAAATAAGAAACTAATAATGCGTGGATTTCATCTCTCCCCTTAATCTTCCATCTTTTTTTTGTGAACCTTTCGTCAAAATGTATTTCGAATGTGAATAACATTAGACATGATGGTATAAAATTTTAAAAAATTCAAATTTAATGTATCTAAAACCACATATTTTATAATTACTTAATGTCCTGCCCTTTTCTATTTTTTAAATCTTATCGCTTTCCATCAAAAAAAAAAGAAAAAAGAAAAAATCCTACCACTTCTTTGCTAGTAAAAAATTAAACAAAAATAACCCATATTTTATTATCGCCTACTTGTTCTCTGTTGGTCCCGAAAACTGACCATTCTTCAATAAATGATGCATTTAATCCTCTTTATAGAATTCTTCAGTTACCAAGGAAGAAACAACTGGTTGGACTGCTGAGTTTGTAGAAAAATTGTCCATTTGGAGCAATTTCAATGGTCAATTAATTAAAGATGGAGAAATTGATAAACAAGAAACAGTTTAAGCCCATCATTTTTTTTTTATTTTAGCTTAAACTATAAGCGAACCTGCAAAGATTCAAGGGTAAAGGCAAAGTAATTTGTGGATACCACAAAGTTTTTTTTTTTTTTTTGATAACTGGATACCACAAAGTCAAAATAGAAATTACACCACTAAACAAACACATATTATCAATTTATCACAAACAAAATTAATTATTCCCAAATAACATTTCCAACCCCTCCCAGCCCTTGCACCCTTCTAAAATTTAATTCTTGTCCTCTTCTTCCTCCTCAAATGCAGAAACCGGAAAGCTTCTGGAAATCCCAGTTGGGGTAGCAAAAGTAATTTTCTGCGAACTGGGGTCCTGAATAGAAATCTCAGAAATTGTTACCCAGATGAAAAGCTCCTTACTCTTGACGCCTGTCAACCGTTTCATTCGACGGTCCTCAATAAAAGCCGTGATGTTCGTGTCGTAACTTACGTTGCGGCTTATCGCACTGAATCTGTGCTGCTTCTGTTTCTTCTGCTTCAGCCAAACAAACCCGGTTGATTCATTGTAGCCAACCTCAACGACGTCGTCTAAGGGGAGTAGTCCCCTCGGAAGATTGATTTTCTCTAGAAGTTCCTTTGATTTTACCTTGCAGAGAGATGGGTCGGTGTATATCTGGGCGTTTTCCTTGTGTGTTTCAACTAGTTGTTGGGATGACATTTTCCGGCTTAGTGAGAAATTGCACGGAAATGCGAAGGAATAACGGAAAGAATAGGGAGATGAATTTTTGGGGAAGCGGAGGTGCGAAAGGGCAGAGAAGGTGACTCGGGTTTATATGTGGGAATAGGGATAGAAGGGTTTCGACGAGATTACAGATATACCCTTTGTTTTTGGGGTTCGGAGTCTTGGTTAGACTCTAGGGCTAATTTGCAAAATGCACCCTAGAATTACATTGGTTTTGTGTTTGACTTTTGCTTTGGTTAGAGTAATTTGATGCCGATTTTTTCTATTTGAGCTGAAAAAGAGTAGGATTTTTCAATTCTTAATTTTTAATTAATTATTTTGAATTACTAGATTGAGAGGAGGTGGAGAGAGGACCGTAAATAGAAAGAAGCATTGGCGGCCATTTGCTCTATTTCCTAAGAGGATAACGAGCCGGTAGTTGCATTAACTCCTAGCTCAAGCCTTCTTTAGGAGACAATAGCTTCCATTAGAAGAGTTAAAAAGCAAGAAGGGAGAAGGGAAATTTTAAATGCATGACCTCTTGTTTAAGGGATTTCAACAATAGTTATTGAATCCGACAAAGGAAGTGGGTCAATCAGTTACTGGTTTAATCATAGGTAAGTGGTTGAACCGATGGATCACTAAATATATTTAAATATTATATCTCGTAAATTTTAATATAGGGTTTATGGTATAAAATATGCCATAACAAATGCTCATTTAATTTATGTGGTTATAAAATTAATAATTATTATGAGAATTAGCAAAATCTAAATTTAATTAGTAATCCACCAATCTTCAAGTGCAAAATTTTATTTATGATTGGTGTAATTATGTAGCTTATTTACGATTTTTAGGTGCAAAAGTTTATTAGGAACAATTCTTGGATTGAGCCTTTGACTTGGCTGACTTAGGAGTTAGGGGTCAATGGGCTTGACCTTGTCAAATCGAATGACGTCATACACACACATATACATACACCTATTCTTTTTTTTTTTTTTTTGCAAACCAAATGATACAACGTAAGTCTTATTTCAGACATAACTTGTAACACACAAGCCACAAGATCTAGAATAGAGTATCAACGTTTGAGCAACGGAAATCTAAACGAACTTGGACTGCACAAGAATGTCAAGATTGGTAGACAATGTCACAATCAAGGTGATCACTTGACTGATAAGTCGATGAGCACATTAAAAACTACTCTAAAATGTTCAAAAGTAGCTTTTACATACCAAAGAATTATTTCACTTAAGAAATAGTTTGTTGGAAAATTCTCAAAAGTCATGTATTTCTTGTCTTAAAGTCGTCTATTTATAGCCAAATTATAAAACCAAATGGGTCAAAATTAAACTACTTAACTAACTAACAAATAAACTAATTAAGGCCTAACTTAGTCTAAAGTTGGCCAATTTTATTCTCCTATCTAGAAGGGCCCAAATGACTCAAAGAATCAAGCAACTAAAAGGCATCCAACTTACATGCCCAAATTTATTCACCATAAATGACTAAACTAAGTTCATGAAAACTAAGTTAAAAATGACTCAAAACAATAAACAACTTGATCCGTTCCTTGATCTCATGAATTAGGGTTTATGGAGGTTCCATCATCAACATCTTCAATGTGAATTAAAGTCTTGGTTGGTTGATGTTGATTCTCCAACTCATCCCCTTCAATATACTTAAGCACCTTTTTGCTCTTGAACAATACGAACCAATGCTTGAAGTGAGTCTTTGAACTTTTTAGCTCGAGCTCGTGTGATTGGACCAACAAGAACCTTCACTAGATCAAAACTTGAAGCTTGAACCTTACGGACAACTTGAGCTCCCGCATCATTTGCCTCCTCTTGAGAAGGGTTTGTTGCAAATCTTGCTCATCATTTTCAAGAAAAGGATTCAAATCAGCCATATTAAAAATAGCACTTACGTTATACTCACCCGATAGGTCGAGTCAATAGTCATTGTCATTGATTTTCTCCAATACTTGGAAAGGACTCCTTGGAGATAGCTGACTATGCCTTTGCAAAGCAAATTGTTCCTTGTGTAGATGCAACCAAACCAAATCTCTAGATTCAAAAACAACTTTCTTACGCCCTTTATTGGCTTGTTGGACTTACTGAGTAGTATGTTGTCAATGTTGGCTCGGACTTTCTTATGCAAAGAATGTACAAAATCTGCCTTTTTCTTTCCATCCAAATTAACATGTTCATTCATAGGTAAAGGCAATAAATCTAAAGGAGTCAAAGGATTAAAATCATACACAACTTCAAAAGATGAGTATTGAGTAGCATTGTGTACAGTTCTATTATATGCAAACTCTACATGCAACAAACATTATTCCCATGTTCTGAGGTTTTTCTTAATTATTGCATGCAAAAGAGTTGACAAGTTCTATTGACTATCTCAGTTCGTCCATCTATTCGAGGATGACTAGTTGTAGAGAACAACAATTTCGTTGCCAATTTACCCCATAAAGATTTCCAAAGTAGCTCAAGAATTTAATATCTCTATCCAACACAATTGTTTTGGGTATACCATGCAAACGAGCTATTTCCTTAAAGAATAAGTTAGCAATATGTAATGCATTATCCATTTTATGACATGATATAAAATGTGTCATTTTAGAAAATTTATTGTCTACCACAAATATACTATCATGATTGCTTTTAGAACTGGGTAAACCAAGCACAATGGAAAGATCAAACCCAAGGCTGGTTAGGAACAAGAAGTGGAGCATACAAACTGAATGGGTTAACTCTTGACTTAGTTCTATGACACACTCCACAACACTCCACCTTGCGTTTTACATCTTTTCTCATATGTGGCCAATAGAAGTGTTCCTACAAAATAGATAAAGTTTTGACAATATCGAAGTGTCCCATTAGTCTGCCTCCATGTGACTCCTTAATAAGTAAGTCACGTATTGATCCATGAGGAATGCATAACTTATCAATGTAAAAGAGAAAACCATTTTACAAATAAAACTTACATTGGGCAACCTTGGTACAAGAAGCATAAATGTCACCAAAATCAGAATCATTAGCATATGACTCTTTCATTAACTCAAATCCAAGCAATTTAGCATTTAAAGCTATAAGTAATGAAATATCTATGAGATAAAGCATTAGATACAACACTAGACTTACCGGATTTATATTTGATGATGTAGGAAATGTCTCAATGAAAGCAACCCATCGAACATGCCTTTTGTTTAGCTTGTGTTGAGCCTTCAAATGCTTAAGTGGCTCATGATCAGTGTTGATGACAAATTCCTTGGCTCGCAAGCAATGCTACCACGCTTCTAATGCACCAACTAACATGTACAACTCCTTATCATAGGTAGAATAATTGAGAGCAGCCCTATTTGTGACAGCCCTACCTTCCTTTAGGGCATACTCCAAGGGTTAGCGGACTGTTTGCCCAACTCTCGTTAGGACTAACTAACCCAAAAATTCACAGAAGACACTAAAACGCACAATTAACTTCAAATCGTCAACTTAGTACTATATACAATAGAGTCACCAACACAAGTCGATGGCCTATTAGGTAAGGGTTGGGTGAAAGAAAGTTTAAGTCCCTGTGCTGTGCCTGTGGTCCTTGTCCCCAAAAAGGATGGCACTTGGCGCATGTGCACTGACTGCCGGGCTGTGAATGCTATCACTGTCAAGTATCGCCATCCTATTCCTAGACTTGATGATATGCTTGATGAACTCGACGGTGCCATTATCTTCACCAAAATTGACCTGAGGAGTGGCTATCATCAAATCCCGATGAAAGAAGGCGATGAGTGGAAAACAGCCTTCAAAACCAAACATGGTCTCTATGAGTGGTTAGTTATGCCTTTTGGCTTGACTAATGCACCTAGCACCTTCATGCGCCTAATGAACCATGTTTTGAGACATTTTATTGGTAACTTTGTCATTGTTTACTTTGATGACATTCTGATCTATAGTCGTAGTGAGCATGAGCACTTGAGCATGTAAGATTAGTTCTCGAGGCACTTCGACAGGCGCGTCTATACGCTAACCTCAAAAAGTGCACCTTTTGTACTAACGAGCTTGTGTTTCTAGGCTATGTTGTGAGTTCGCAGGGCATCAAGGTGGACAAATCCAAGATTGAGGCCATCGAGCAATGGCCAACCCCTACATCCGTTCCTGACGTGCGCAGTTTTCTTGGATTGGCGGGCTTTTATCGGCGATTTGTCAAAAACTTTAGCACTATTGCCGCCCCATTGACCGCCGTGACAAAGAAGGATGTCAAGTTCCACTGGGGGCATCCCAAGAACAAGAGTTCCTCGCCCTTAAGGACACACTCACCCATGCACCTGTGTTAGCATTACCAAACTTTAACAAGACCTTTGAAATTGACTGTGATGCTTCTGGTGTAGGAATTGGAGCAGTCCTCATGCAAGACAAGAGGCCGTGTGCCTTCTTTAGCGAGAAATTGGGAGGAGCCGCACTAAACTACCCCACGTACGACAAGGAGTTGTACGCCTTAGTGAGGGCCTTGGAGACCTGGCAACACTACCTTTGGCCTCGGGAGTTCGTGATACATACTGATCACGAGTCATTGAAGTACCTCAAAGGCCAACCCAAGCTAAGCAAGAGACATGCCAAGTGGGTAAGCTTCATTGACACTTTCTCCTATGTGATTAAATACAAGACTGGCAAGACGAATGTGGTAGCTGATGCCTTATCACGTAGACACTCCTTGCTTGCCTGTCTTGATGCCAAATTGCTTGGGTTCGAAATGGTTAAAGATCTCTACACTAATGATCATGACTTTGGTGATATCTATGCTGTGTGTATTAAGAATCCGCAGGGAAAGTACTTTTTGCATGATGGATTTCTATTCCATGTAGATAAACTGTGATACGAGTTAAGCTATGCCATTGGATAAGGTTCAAGTCCCACTAGGACTGGTTACACGAGCTCGAGCAGTTCATTCAGATTCATCGTCTCAAAGACGTTATAAGGCGCGGGCACGATTTATAAGGATATGTCTTCTGCCATTTAATTGATTCACCGCAGCAAAGTCATTATAAGGCGTGGGCACGCTTTATAAGCTCAAGTCGTCTGCCCATCTAATCACATTTATTGTTT